AAGAATCAAATTCCGCTATAAATTCTACATGCACCGTAGGATCAATATTTGCATAATAATCTGATTTCCACTTTATGACTAAACAGAAGCGGAAAAAGTGGTATTCATGCAAATTGGATTTCGCATTTAAGTGCTCCACTTGTGCATTTTTTTCCTTGGTTTCAAGCCCATCCTCAAAGTGGCGTATATAAATGTTGCGATTGATTGGGGAGAAAGAGGAATGGTAGATGAAGGGATCAGGAACGGAAGAAATTCGTGCTTTTTCCGGACAATATATGTTTGAAAGAGTTTGTGCACTTTATAATGTCTTTTAGTATGCATGCTTTCGCATTTACAAATTCACGAAATTCCCGTACGTGCATCAAAGTCCTTTAATCCTATCCTTCTCATAAAAAGATAAGTTCGTATAAGATGTATGTATACTTTTGTGCATTTTTTCGCGTGTTTGTTCTTAATTTTTGGAAATCCTCGTAGATGACCGACATCGAGTGAGATTGTATTTAAAGGCGACGCCCCGTCCGCTCTGAAACATCCCCAGCCGCGGGGGTCGGGTATAGCGTCGAAATGTCATTTCCTCAGCCCCCCGAACTGGGTCGAATGTGTGACTCTTCCGTGTGCCTCCTCCTGCTGCTGATCAATAGGCGGCCGGTCGCGCAAAGACCTCGAATTTTACATACACTTTCTCATTCCTTTCACTCAACAAATACCGCTAACTAAATTCTATGTATAGCATGAAATAATCGTTTCTTGAAAAGCCGAAGATACTATGTTACAGTTTACAATTTATACAGCGATATAAATAAAGAAAATCTAAATTTCTAAATTTTAATACAAAAATTGATGAAGAAATGGAACGAAATTTTAGTTTACGATTTTCGTTGGAGATATAATTAATTAGCAAGCTTTTTTACAATAATATGATAAATTTAATTGAGACTTCCAATGAATATCATATCATTCCGTTTTTATATAATGATAGTTTGGAAAAAATCTTTTATTTTGCTTTTCAAATTTGAGCAAAATGTACTAATAATATATATGTTTTTCAATTCATAAAGCTTATTTTCTGATCAATATCCCTTTGAAGCAGTTGATCCTTTTCTTTGTTTGATAATATTATTTTCTAGATTTTGGGATTTTATCCAATAAAATTAATGCCTTGGAGTATACAATTCAATAAATAAAAATATGCTTATAAAGAGCACGTTTCAAGAAAAAAATGTATAACAATATCTATTGTATGCACACATATTACTGCGGACTATTGACCGCAGATTTAATTTATTTTACATTTTTTTTTGTTAAGTTATTGTTTTCATTTGTATGAAATTCAATTGAAAATAAGCGCTTATTCATGTTGTCTACAGCAGATATCTATGTTTTGTATTTGCATCAATCATAATATTTATGTAATAAATCCAAATGAAATATTATAATTTCATATTTATTACATTTTCAAAGCTTTTAAAAAAGATGCAAAAGTTCATCGCAATTAAATGTATATTTTTTTTAGCAGAAAAACAAGAGTACAATTGCGGTTTTGTGATACGGCTAACATTCCAAGTGGAGGCGGCGCGAAAACTTTACGCGTATCTGTGGTAACCAGCGTTTGAAAAGAATCAAAAGCTCATAGTTTTTTTTTTGCTATTTAGTTTTGTTTTTATAGACTTGTTGAAATCACGAAATTTAATTTAAAAATAATGTAATTCCTTGTTATACTTTATATACATATATATAGAAGATTCTAAATAAATGTCTGGGAATTGAGTAATTAATGTTAATCTTTTTTAGGTATTCGAATAGAAAATCGATTATTAGTTCTGACCGGTTGATTAATTATTTACATACCTAGTACAAGATCTAATAATAATCGTATTACGGTTAGAGTTTTTAATTGATTTTTGCTTGCACCTAACAGGAATATTTAATAACATATCTGTAGCTAAAAAAATAATAATAAATACATTGAAAACTGATTAACAATCTGTAATATTGGTAGTAATTGTTTATCAAGACGTCCTGAAATAGCAGACTTTCCTGTTATTAGGGCATTCTCAGGAATCGAGAAATTTAAAAAATAATGTAAAAAAATTAATAAAAATAAAATGCAATATTTGAATGTCCATTTCTTAATTGTATAGCAAAATGTCATCTTACATTCAGTACTTGTTAGTTTTCGGTGGTAATCGCAAGCCTGACAACCGAAATACCGTCAATCAAATTCCCGACGTTCGAAATCCCGACTGTATCGAAATCTCGACGTTCGAAATCCCGACAACCATAATCCTGACTATATTAAAATCCCGACTATATGGAAAATGTCTTCAATAACTTTTTAAGTTATTCCGGAGCGTAGTCATTTTTAAATTGTTATTAATAATAAATAATAACAATTAATAATCTAATTGTATTTGAGATTATTTCANNNNATAATTCAACAAAATCAAATAAATTAATAATAATTTATTGTTATTACTAATAAAATTGTAGCACTAGGTGTCTACGCTCCGAAATAATTTAAAAATGTTATTGTAGAAATTGTCGATATAGTCGGGGTTTTGATACTTTCGGGATTTTGATATAGTCGGGATTATGGTTGTTGAGATTTTGATATACAGTCGGGATTTCGATAGACGATATTCGGTTGTCGGGCTTGCCCGTTAGTTAGTGTGACTTATATAGAACATAACAAATTATTTGTAGGAGATTGAATATTTTGTATTTAAGGCTAGTTTAAGTTCAGACTATTGCATGAGTTATCATTACCACTTTCAAAATTAATAAAGTACATATTTTAGTTGTTTTTAATGTCATTTTCACTTTTGAAATTTTCTTGGGAATTTTCGGTTCAGCAAACCAACCTGCTACGTATACAAATTTAAATAAGCTATACACTATGTAGATGCAGTATAATGAAGATATATAGATATAAACTCGTGTTTAATTACAAGTAAATTAGTTTGCGAGATTAATGTTTTTGTTATTTCGATAAAGTTGCATTTCTTGCCAGATCACATTGTTTTGAAATGATTTCATGAAACAGACATTTTAATTTGAAAACTGATTAAATTCACATAAATCCCTTAACATTCATGATAGAAATATACAAAGATCAGATAAACAGCCGTTAAATTTTTGTCATTTTTATATAAAATATTTTCTTGTATTATTAAGCTAAGATCAAAGTGAAGTAATTGTTTCGATTATCACATTTATTTAATTTCTCAGCTACTTTTGAACTCAAAAAAAAAATTGTATGCTTACAGCTATATACATTTTTTTTATTATATTAATATATTTGATAATGTGTGAATTATCACGTTCATATGGAAGTTTTCCAACTTTTTTTTTGTAAAGTTTCAAGCTCCAGGTCTTGTATGAATTAATTCTGAATGCGTTCTGGTTTGAGGCTTCGAGAGCGGCCGGAATTATGATATGGGTTTGTAGCCTAATGGGAAAACGGAATAACGAAGTTTATGATATTCCGATCACGGAAAGAATATTCCCCCCAGTCCTCTCATTAACACAAGGAGGAAAAATTTATTAACTTAATTGGATCGGCGTCGGCTCTGGAAGAAATTAAAAAGCCTTCCCCCCAAATGCTTTCTCATCTTATTTTTCATTGTTATAATTTCGTTTTACGATTTTTTCCTCAGCGGAAAATTATTATTTTATTATTGTGCGCAGGGTGCGTACTGAGATCGATTTCTCCTTCTGCTTTTTACGAATTCATGAAGCAATGCCTTTAAATTTCTCCGGAGACAATTTAATGAAGCACCCTTGTTGGGTATAGTTCTGTTTTAAATAGTTAATGTATTTACGATCGTATAGTGTTTGCATGAAATCGTAGAGAATTCAACTGATTTTTTTTTTAAATAAATCTAAATTTGTAGCAAAATGTTTAAATTTTATCATAACGTCACATTCGAAGTATTTCAATTGTTTATAACTAGTGTAAAATATTAGAATATGTATTCATTTTTTGTATGTTTCTTCTAGCAAATCTAGTATGGAAACATTTATTTTCTAACATCTTGTATTGTACATCTTGTACATTGCGTTGAACTAATTAATTTGGCGACAAATTTTAGAATCCTTTATTCTACATGTCTCTATTATATACTACTGAATATATGACAAACTCACCTGTAAACTAATTATACGAATTACCTTCAAAACAGGAAATTCACAATAACACCGTACTTATGTTTCTCTAAGAACAACAACAACAACAACAGCAATAGTCATTGAAAAGATAATAATTTAACAATGATATTCAATATTCATAAGCATTTTTCAGAAACCCGCGCAAATCGCACGATAAAGCAATCAATTTTAAATCGAGTTGAAAGCAATTTCCAAGGCGTATTCAATGTCTCAATTATTTATTTCACATCTCATTCGAGCGAGAAAAGAAGTAGAAGATAATTTAATGGGGACAGCGCAACGATTATGAATTTTATTGTGTATATTTAAAGTTTAGTGAAATGTATCAACTATTAATTCGTTAAATTACTATAGCATTTTCAATTTTAAATTGCCATTTCTTGATGATGCCTATTGATGGTGGAGAAATTAAATGATTCTGATTTAGAAATGCAAGGGGCTGAGAGTAGAAGAGATCAAATGGTTGGGGGTATTTCGAGCCGTGAAGTGGGTAACGGCTAGAGCCGTTTAACATAGACCCTGAAGTATAATTAAATTGTCAGACTCGCCTTTAAATTGAAACTCGAAGATATTTCCTCGTTTTCTCTATCTCTTTTTCTATATTACTTCCTTCCTTCGTTAAATCTCACACTGAGATTTATTTATTAAAGCCTCCCTCTATCTTACTCACTTAAACATATCAACACTAATTTCTTGCCTGAGCGCTGAAGTGATTTCTTTCGTTTATTTATTTATCTGTGTGTAATCGTTTTATTTTACTGTTCTCTATCTAACTGTCTTTTATCTTCCACTTTTATACTAACCTATTGTATCTCTCTTTTTTTCCTATCTAGAAACGGGGAGAAAACTTTACTTATCACAAAGGCTAGATCGGCGGAACAGCCAGTCATATGGAGGTAGGCTTGTTATATACTATATGTTTGTGTCTGTTACGTTATTAGTTTGTGTCGTTTTTGTCCACATATCTTGATGTTGCGTACTTTACAACTTTCCTTCCAGGCTCGGGGCTGCGATGTATCCAATAACCGCTCATTAAATTGAATTTTTCATCAAATCTAAGTCCTTAATGATCAATTAATTATAAACGTTTTAAATTGAGATAGAATATATAACATTTCATTTTTTCCTATCTAGAAATGGGGAGAAAGCATTACTTATCACAAAGGCTAGATCGGCGGAACAGTCAACCATATGGAGGTAGGCTTGTCATCTATGCGTTTGTGTCTATTTGTTGTTATTTGGTGTTGTGTTGCGATGAATAATTGAAAAAAAAAAGAATCATCATCAGCAATCATCATTCTACGTTACTAAATCTAATTGTTTCCATCCCTTAAATATATATATATATATTGACTTAATTAAACCGTTAATCAAGTTTTTTTGCTACTTACATGTCGATGTTGTAGTTTTAAGAGCTTATTTCCAAGATGTATGCTATGTTTCGCATGTATACTATTCAATTTATGTACAACACCTAATCATTACATGTTCAGTCATCCAATTTTTAGTATTATCAAAATGGAATTAAAACTTTTAATTAATTCACAAACCACATATTTACGCCACATTTATGCATAATTAAGTAAATTAATGAAACATATTATCATTTTATTCATCAATTATATTCAAAATATTTTCCACTCGAGTGTATAGGGATGTTTACCAGATCTACCTATCAAAATATTTCTTCAAAAGAGATAAACATCTATTCACGGTCTCATTCATTCATCTCGCTGTTGCTACGTAATGCTATTGCATGGGAAAATGTTTCTGTACTACAATCTTCACAAAAAGATCAGTATTTAGTATGTAATTCACTGCTATTCATATCAGTAATAGTAAAATACAAATAATTTAAATCAAACTGAATTTATTATATATTGTGTATTTAAAACATAATTTGTTCCTAGACTAATAATACATAAATTTAGATATTGGCTGAAGGTATAAATCACATAGAATTGATGTAAAAGTTGTAAAACTGAGATTACTATTATTATAGATTTATTGGCAGGTATACCTCTTATAACTAGATAGTTACGTTCTAAGGAAATATCGTGTAATCAATAATATCGTTAAATCAATTTATTATAGAGGTTAACTTCTAGAACATGGCAAGAAATTGTAACTTTGTTAGGAACCATTTTAAATATTTAAGCGTTTTGTTCGTTGTTAATATATATTTTTTAAATTATTTGGAATCCTATACTTTGTAGGTAATTGTTATTATCTATTAATTATTAAAGAGCTATGTTATATGAGTGATACCAGTATCTAGAAATTAATTTAAATTATTTTATTTACTTGTTTGTTTTTTCAAAATTAAAATTATAGTCTTGGCTAAAGTATTTAATTACTATATTGCTGAAAGTCGTCGGTAATTTAGTTCAATGATATAGAACTCTTATGTAAGTTTGGTGTTTGATCCGAATCAGTATGGACCTGCGGTTTTTGGAACTCGTAATATTCGCTGTATTTTACGAACTGGATTCATCGTAGCCCATGTGCTTGGAAGTGGGCTAAGTTAATGAGCGTTTTGAAATGTGCCATCAACTTGGGAAGGGGGGTTGGTTGGGTGACGTTCGTCTGTAGGTTTGAGATCGTTAGGTTTTAGTGTGTGCGTTTCTGGAAAGTTTCCGGAATACGGAAATTTCAGCGAATCCGGATGCGCCCACGCGTCTAGTTCAACAGCTCTCCTCTGCCCAAAACCCCACTTAATACGCGAATTATTCCCGCATCGCGGATGATAAATGCACCGTCATCGTGATCGCACGACCCTCCCTTCTCCCACGCAAAAAGGGCCCCACCGCATTCATTCTATCATCAATGTCAGCCGACGCAAGGATTGCCCCAACAATATATTTGCATTATTTCAAATATAATTTATTATTAACTTCAAAAAAAAAGTAAATAAAAAAATGGAATGAATGATGTGAAGGAAAGAAAATAATCTTCGAGGCTCGTATAATTACATTTTCCCTTTTGCGGCTGTCAGAAAAATGAAGGGTCGCGGGATTGTGAAAAGTTTTTAATCTTATTACAAAACGAAGAACGAGAAAAAGAAGGCGGTGAAAAAGTAGCAGCCAAAAGGGAAGCTTTCTTATCATTTCCCAATCCGAAACACAAACGTACAGGACCAAACCAAACGTAAACATTTAATTATTATTTTTTTATGATTTTTTTTTTAATTAAAATGTGCATATCGAAAGACATTTGTATTTAATCTTTTTTGTATATTTTGTATTTTTAAGCGTGTAAAAGTAAAACTGCTTTAAGAGAACTTTAATAAACCGTCTATGTAATTAATTGTTCATCATTGATTTTATTCGAACATGGTAACTAAATTTAATAAATTATTTTAAATGATAAGTAGTAAAATTTTCTCGTTTTAATCATGAAACATATAATATGGTAAAGTTTAGTGCAATTTTCACGGCTACAAACAGGGCTGTCCCTAGCAAGTGCGGGGCCCAGGGCAAAAAAATTTGGGGTCCCTTAAACAATTTTAGTGAAACCTTTGTTTTGTCACATGTCCTATGACTCGAGTCTAAAAAAAAACATAAAAACGGAGCGCAGCCTAAATGTTTAGTGTAGGCTCACGTTCGTGCCTGCCGGTTCGCATAAGGCTATGGGGCCCTTAAAGCGCGGTCTAAGAACGGTAATAGTATTTGTATAAAAATGTAATGTAATAGTATTCTTAAGTATCAGAAAATTAACTTGTTTTCAGTAGCAGCAATTTTACTTTTGAAAAATCAACTTAGATTAACCAAAAAAACGGAACAATACATTAAAATGATAATTTTATATAAGAGAAATATTAATTTCATTGGGATTATAAATTTATTCCATCACAAAGTTAACGTTTAAGATATCGATGTCTTTTCATTTTCTTTCTTACGGATACTATAACATGCGGATGCACTCACGTAATCTGATAATAAAGAGCGTGTTCTTAATGGTATGTATTGTGTAATATTGATTGTGCCTCGAATGAATACAAGTAACTCCTGATGTATGTGTGCAGGATAGGTTAGGCGTGCAAGCAAAAAGAAGTATTGAGAAGGGCGAATTGAGAAGAGGCGAGATATAGGGGAAAATGGTATGGAGAGAAAAAGAAGAGGAGAGAGAGAGAGAGAATTCCGAGAATTCGGAGAGGGATGAGAGATGATGGGGAAGAAAGAATCGATATTCAGAGCCCCCCAACGGACGGTACGCGCACTGCGCATGCATATATTCATTCTCTTGTATTCGCTAATCATTTTGTTATTTACACGATCTTAGTTTTGTGATAATCTTCTTTAAACTTTTGTAGTTCGGTAGGTTTTGGGGGAAATTCGTCTCGAATAATTGTATTTTGTTTGTTTCGTCATCCATATGCGTTTACGTAATACTTACATCCACATTGCATACTGGATTGATTGCATGATCTCTCATTATTTCTTTTTCTCCGGAATTACCTTTTACCAGCACGTAGAATAGAATTCAATATAAGGACATTACATAATAATTATATAACGCCATTCATAATATCAAACTTATTACGTATTTACAATTAAATCGAATGAATATCTTTGCAAAGATTTCACACTTTTCGTGACTGCTATTATTTATGTAATTGTATAAATGTTAAAATTAATATTACCAATTTAATTGTTTTGAGATTTTCAATATATTCAATATATTCCCGCATATATATTATATAATATTTAAATTGTTTTGTAATTGTAAATGTGGTGTCCTTTCATAACATACATTAATTACTTCTTTAATTTTACTTTTGCAACGAATCATAATTTTGAATATTGAGTAATAGTGTGGATTTTGAGATCTTTTTGTAGATTTAGATATCTTTTGAAATTAATTTAAGTAATATTTCTGTAAATGTGTCTGTTTCTATCAGTGTGTGTTGTTTGCTATATAGAGAGGTAAGGTAAGTAACGTCAAGAGGACTACGTTCTATCAGCTATTTATGAATTCCCGATCAATAGAAGGCTATTGATGGATGTTCTTTGTATTTTCCAATGCGACTTGTCTGATGTACAGTTATTTCCCTTTCTTTCTTCCTTTAATTAATACGAACTATCTACGTTGGAAATCTCTCCACGCGAGTGTGTGGCCTAAGAAGAATCAATGAATTAGCATGTCTACCGTGAAGATCGTTATCAAATGTAGTTCATGACTTACTTCTTCACCGTGATTTATGGGAGAAATTTCCGGCCAAGGTCCTTCCTAATTTACCACAGCGACCAGCAACGTCCAATATTTTCATTCATTCGTCGAAAGTAATAGCGCGTCTTACGTATCTAGAAGTAGTTATGTAAGAGGTATACCCTGTAGGAGAAGGAAGAGGGTATTTAGGTGGCACAGCCGTTCAGGGCATCGATTCTTCGCTTAGGTCACGGGATAAAAATAGTTTTTTTTTTTTACTTGATTTGTCCTCCCCTTGAACTTTCGCAGTCGTCTAGCATGCATTCGGGGGTGGTCTTTTAACCACAAACATGGTTAGTTGAGCGGACGCGTTGAAGTTTCAAAAGAAAGCGGTAGAAAAACTAATATTACTTATAAACCCCCAACGCCCTCTAACCAATATCGAATTAGTTTCTTCACAAAGTCCTTAACCTTTTACGTACATATATATGTATATACATATTCTAGCATGAGTTCAGTTTTAGTTCGGACATTCACGAATAGATGCCACAACAGGTAAATAAATGAAAGGAATGGCGGTTCACCTCATTTCCAAACAAACATAAGTACTCTAAAAAGAACATGTCTTAATTATTGACTCGAAGACAAACAAATTTAATATTTTTAATGAGCCCTGAAAGTTTCTCTTAAATGAAGAACAATTAGTTTATTTGAGTTACTCGTATTGATTTTAATTGTTCAATGGTTATTTATTAGATTATATAAAAATAATATGGTTTATTTTTATACCAAAAATAAATTACATAAGTGAATTATGCGTTAGTCTGTATCTATTGCTATAAATATAATTCCTGTGTCTGGGCTTCGATAAGTACCATTTGGTAGCAGAAATAGGGCTATAATAATTTAAAAACTATATATAAATTGATAAACTAATAATGAAAAAAATATGTAACTTTAAAGTATAATTTGAGTGATTCCTTGTCTTGTTTAAGTTATTTTGCGCTTGTAGTCCAGGGTCGGGGAAAGGGGTTAAAATTCACACATAC